TGTGGGGAGGAGTTGAGGGAATGACTTTCACTGTGGAGACTGTAAACTAGATTAAGAGGTGTTTGATGGTAAATTGTACTACCTGCTACAGCTGGCACAAAATTTTTGACAGCATAGCTGTGCTGATTAGAGACATGAATTGTTTGCAGGCAGTGCTATGGACGCTGAATTGCCACTCTGTGCCAACAAAGAAGCTCCCATGGAGGAGATTATTTAAAACATCCCTGGCTCGTAGAAAATGGCCTCTCTCTAGGAGAGCTTGCTCAAACACCTCTCCCAGTGTAACTGATGCCATCAGCCATCTGGAACACAGACAAGACTTAAACTGTTCCCTTGCTAGATATTTCCCCTTTAGCAGGTGTTTAAGGGATAGAAAATGGAGGCTAGTAAGGGGCTGATAGTCTTCAGAGTAAGAAGCTCCTCATCTAAGCATGGGGACTGCATGAAGTGGGTTGATTATAGCATCCAGCTGGTTCTCAGCTCAGTGCTTGGAAAAACAGGCCTCAGATTCCTGAATCTGCATGCCGGAATTGATGTGCAGTAATCTGGTGCTGTAACTGCTGCTTCTTGTCTGAGTCAGAAAGCTGCTTGTTGTCCTACTCATGGTTGCACCTCCTAGACATTTACTCTGAAATCAGCTTCTAAAATCTGGACGTGTGGATTGGACAAGTTCATGGTGAGACGGATTGAGAACTGGCTGGATGGCAGAGCCCAGAGGGTGGTGATAAACGGGGCCAAGTCTAGCTGGAGGCCTGTGGCCAGTGGTGTCCCCCAGGGATCTGTATTGGGCCTGGTGCTGTTCAACTTGTTCATCAATGACTTGGACGAGGAGACAGAGTGCACCCTCAGCACCCTCATTTGCGGACGACACCAAACGGGGAGGATTGGCCAACAGTCCCGAGGCCTGTGCTGCCATTCAGAGAGACCTAGACAGGATGGAGAGTTGGGCAGAGAGGAACCTCATGAGGTTCAACAAGGACAACTGCAGGTTCCTGCACCTGGGCAGGAATAACCCCAGGTGCCAGCAGAGATTAGAGTTGACCTGTTGGAAGAGAGTCCTGGTTGACAACAAGTTATCCATGAGTCAGCAGTGTGCCCTCATGACCAAGAAGGCCAATGGGATCCTGTCCTGCATCAGGAGGAGCATTGCCAGGTCGAGGGAGAGGATTCTGCCCCTCTACTCAGCTCTGGTGAGTTGTGTACGCCTGGAGTATTGTGTGCATTGCTGAGGTCCCCAGTACAAGGGGGACGTGGAGCTTCTAGAGAGGGTCTAGTGGAGAGCAAAAAAGATGATTAAGGGACTGGAGCATCTATTGTATGAGGAAAGACTAAGTGAGCTGGGCCTGTTAGCCTAGAGAAGAGAAGACTGAGAGGGGATCTGATCAATATGTATAAGTACTTGAGGGGAGAATGTAGGGAGGATGGGGCCAAACTCTTCTCGGTGGTGGCCAGTGATAGGACAAGGGGTAATGGGCACAAATTGAAACACAGGCAGTTCCATCTCCATGTGAGGAAGAACTTCTTTACGGTGAGGGTGACAGAGCCCTGGAACAGGCTGCCCAGAGAGGTTGTGGATATCTTCAAAACCCATCTGGGTGCCGCTTGCTCTAAGTGTCCCTGCTGGAGCAGGGGGGTTGGACTAGATGATCTCTAGAGGTCCCTTCCAATCTTCACCGTTCTGTGATTCTGTGCTTCAGTGAAATCCTGATCACTGGCATCTGGTTCCTCCTTCTGAAGCCAATATAGCTTCTGTAGTGTTGTACACACACAAATGTTGCTGTTCCATTGATACAGTTTGGAAGAGCTTATGCCACTTAAAATTCTGTGGCAGAGAAAGTGCTCCAGGACCTCCCTTGGGCCTTTAATCGGCCACGGGCTCCAGCCTCTCTGCTCGCATGCCAGCACTGGCTGGCTCCTCTGTATTTCACATAGTGTGAAAACACCAAAACATGTCAGGTCCTTGCTATCATGATAAAGACATATAAGCTATTGCATAGCAGTCTTCTGGTGGGCATCGCAAAAAGGAAGATGGCTGTGGTGCCTCTCATTTTTGTATCTAGCAATTGCACGCTAGTCACTGACTGTACGGCCAATAAGAGTCTCCCTTCGCGGATCGTTTCTCAGAGCAATGCTGCAGAGTAACCCCTGCCTGCGTGTGCACAGGGGCAGCAGGGCTGTGTCGACCAGGTGTGATTCAGCGTGGATGTCCTCCTCCCTGAACGTGTTCTTGGCTCCTGGCTTTGTGTTGGTTGGAAGGGCAAATGGCTCCAGCTCCAACAGGCATTGCCCCTTCCTCCCTCTTCATGGGTTTGGTGTTCAGTCATCTGCAGTCTGTCTGGGAAAGAGAATTTCTCGTGGTTTGGATCAAACATGGAAAAGCAGATGGCTGTAAAGCCTTCTGGAACTTTCTCTCGCCTTACTGTTACCCTGGGGTGAGGCTGGAGGCACAGGCCTGCTAGTGCAGGTGGTCATGAGGTCCAAGTGCGTGTGAGGCAGGCCCACCGTCAGGGGGCGCTTGGGCTGCTGAGGGAACGCGCTGTGGAGGAGGCAGGGCATGGTGAGGCATTTCTCAGCAAGCCTCATCTCAGTTTTGCAGTATCTGTGGGACACAATAGCAGGACAAGTTCATCTTCACAAATGATGAACAGTCCTGAGGCAGGTGACCATCATGGGGCCAAACTCCTCTCAGTGGTGGCCAGTGACAGGACAAGGGGTAATGGGTATGAATTGAAACACAGAAAGTTCTACCTCCATATGAGAAAAAACTTCTTTACTGTGAGGGTGAGAAACCCCTGGAACAGACTGCCCAGAGAGGTGGTGGAGTCTCCTTCTCTAGAGATCTTCCAAACCTGCCTGGATGCCACCCTGTGCCACATGCTGTAAGTGTCCAGTTTGAGCATGAGGTTTGGAGGTTTGGTCTCTAGCGGGCCCTTCCAACCCCAACCACTCTGTGGTTCTGTGATCATGGGCTCACTGCGCATTCAGCCATAGCTCTTTGAGCAGCCCCATGACTCAGGGCCATGGCTCTCCTGAATGGTCCTGTGGCTCTTCCAACACCAGGGACCAGCCACGACAGCACAAAATGTGCTCTTGCAGCTGGTCCTTTAGCATTTTCTTAAATAGAAAAAAAAATCCATGTGGGACATTATTTTCCATCCAGTTGCAGATGCAGGCTGGCTGCTTTGAGGGCAGGTGTGTGATACTGGGGTAATGGTTCCATGGGCTGCCCATCCCTAGACCACATGTCCTCCAAACGGTTAAGGATTGGAGGCAGCGGGCGCTGGGTGCGTCTCTGTTGCCGCTGCTCTAATCTGTCTCTGTCTGAGGCCATGTTTTTATTGCCTAAGCAATATCTCTTTCCATGTGCTTAATGGCTTCTCAGGGTCTGCATCGCTAGCGGTGCTCGGCAACTGGAAGGGCCTCAGCAAGCTCTGCCTGCACAAGTGGCCTGGTGCCCGTCATCTGCCACGGAGCTGCCATCTGTCTGCCAGCGTGTCGCGTTGCATCCATGGGCGCTGTGCAGGCTCGGCCTCCAGTGGAGCATGTGCCCAGGCTGAGTGCTCGTGTGGCAGCTTATTTTCTTCAGATGGAGCTGAAGCTGTAGCTGAGCCCTAGGCTTTTATCTCCCAGTGTCCTCCTGCCCTCCCCAGCTCATGCTGTCTGTTAAATTCAAGCTGTTTCCCTGAGCCAGTGTTCAGCCAGCCTGTCCCCAGGGCCAGATTTGCCAGCGGTAACGAGATGGAAGCCTCTTACATCCAGGACATCTCTGCAGACCTGCATGGGGAACTCTGACAGGATTTTGACTCGTGCCCAGGCAGAGAGTTTGTGCTGAGGGGGTTTCCTGTCCCCTGCCCTGATGCAGAGGATGGGACAGGAGGCTGAATCTCCAACGCTGCAGGGTTAGACCCTCGAGGCTGAGCAAAGCTCCTTAGCAGGGGGTCTGTGGCCGCTTTTCCCCATCAGCTGCTTTCTGCAGACATGTGCCATGTTCATGGAGCCAGTGGCTTTGGGAGCAAAGCACCACATCCTGCGGGTCTTCTGAGGTCCTTCCAAGCACTTCTCCAGCCTCCTTTTGGGCTCTGGGTAACTCTTGCAGTTGGCACATAGTGATAGCTTTTGTTTTGATCTTGTTGGTCCCCTTCCTCACTTTCCCAACACTTATTATTTATTTTTGGGTGCTGCTGGGGACTCCAGCAACTTGTTCTCCGGGGGCTGCCTATAGCCTCCTCTGCTGCCTCACTCCCACACAGCATAATCAGGTCCAGATGATTTTTTTTATGTGTGAAATCAGGATTATTATCCCCCTCTCCACATTCATTCCCCTCCCAGAGAGGTAGCTGTCCATGTTTCCTGGGACGTGTGGTGACCAGCTTGGGGATAGGCCGGTCTGGACATTTTCCTCGGTCCGACTCCTTCAAGAAACATGTTGCGAGCTTCCAGCTGTGATCATGGCTGGTGGCACCAGCTCACACTGCACCAAGGCCCAGATCACCCTGCAACAGCACACGCAGCGTAACCGGAAGCTCAGTCAGTGTCCAAAGAACCCAGAGCCGTGCCTGGGAGTCACTGCTCTCCAAGCAAGCTCCTTGCAAACTCACTGAGACCAGTACTGGAGAGAGTAAGGTAGCAGGCACGCCAGAGACAAGATCAGCACACAGGGAAATGCTTGGCTTGAGTGCGGGCTGCTCGCTCTCACTGCGCTATAGCAGATCCCAGACTGAGCTAGGCGAGAGAAGGGAGGAATTAAGGTGCAAATGATGAAGTAATTAACCAGGAAAAAATGGGCTGCAGGAGGGTCCCACAAATCTCATTCCCCAATGGCTTTCCCAAACTCCATGCAGATTCCTGCATGGGCTTCTGTGCTGCCCAAGGCTCAGTTTCCCCCAGGAAAACCTGTGCCCCGGTGCTGGTTCACTCCTCTCCCCATGCCCATCACGTGCCCACGGGCAGTCCAAGGTCCATCGAGGTCGTGAAGGCGAGTGCGGGCAGCGGGTTGCGAAATGAAGAGCCTGCTTTTCCTCCTGAGCTGTCTGCAGCTCCTTGGCGAGTAACCCTGGGGGCCATGGGCGGTGGGGGACATGGCAGGGGCTGTTCAATGGCTTTGCCCTCTTGGGTGCGCGTTGGGCAGCCTGTTCCAGAGCGGAGCTGCCAGTTCTGTCGCTTGAGGGGTATTTGAAAAGCAAATGAAAACATGCATTTCCAGCTGGACAAAGAGCTGGAAGGGGAGCGGGCTTGGGAGCTCAGGCTGTGATTTATGTATCGCTCTTGCTGCACCTCTGTCGCTCAGGTTTTTCTGCTCTTATTTGAAGCCAGCAGCTCTGCACTGCAGGATCCATTTTCTGTTGAATATGAATGTAGCTTTGATGTTCAAGGACTGCGATTCCCCGGAGACGAGGCTGATTAAATAGCACACTGATATTTCCAGGGATTTAGAAAGTGCAGG